TTCGGGTTAGAAAAATAGAGGAAGGTGTTGAAGTGTCGGTGAAAAAGAAAAAAGAAAACGACGAAATATATATACATATAAGAAGAAAACACACAAGAGGAAGGATTATAATTATCGTTCGAAAGAAAAGTTTATTTCTCTTGGTACATTGGGAAGAACGTTGTTCGGCTACTACTATTACTACTACTACTACTACTACTACTACTACTACTACTTCATCGACTCTCACGAGAGCTGCTCTCTCTCTCTCTTTCTCTCTCTTTACTCGAAAGAGACCAGGAGAAATCCAGAAAAGGTCAGGTTCGCGTAGGCTGTACGGGGGATCGACTTCGATCTTGTGACTCGGTGAGTCCTCCTCGCTTTCTCGAGTCTTTAATTGTTTTTATTTTTTTTCTTTCCCTTTTTATTCTTTATTTTTATTTATTTCTATTTATCTAACGCAAAATTATCGCAATAACAGTAGAAACATTTAATAATATGCAAAGAAATTTTCAATTTAATTCGAGCATTTGAATAAGAAGAAGAAGAAGAAGAAGAAGAAGAAGAAGAAGAAGAAGAAGAAAAAGAAGAAAAAAGTTACGTTCCATGTTTATTATTCAGATTTGTTTTTGTTTTCTTTTTGTCAGGGAATGAAATCTCTATAAAAAACATCTAGGGTGAAAGTGAGATCGTTTAGTAACGTTTTTAAGTATTAAAAAGAAAGCTTTACGACGATTGAACGCCTTCCAAAAGAATCCGGAATATCTCCATTTCGGTGATTTTAATGCTGGAACAGATACGGTTTTTTATTGAATTTCATAAATCAATCTTAAGGATTTCTAATGGCTTCTTTAATTGGTTAGAACTATTGATTAATTTTTTAATTGTTCATTTTAAAATGATATTTTCAATATGACGAGATGATTGATCAAAAAAAAAAAATAAAATTTGGTTTTAAGCAAATATTTTTCCTTTTTTATTTTATTATAAATTTCTAATAATCAGATTTATATTCAAATGAAAGAAAGTATAATACGAAATCAAACGAAGACGTTTTATTTCGTAAAAAACATTCGTCATTTGTTAAGGTTCTAGTCTCGTAGTTAGTGAAAGTATTTCCGGTATTCTCCGAATCCGAAGCTCTTACGATGGTACCACATTAAAGATGTGCGTGTTTCGATGAACGTTTTATGTACACGGATTGCTTAAACGGCACTCCTACTTTACGTAACAGAATTTCAAGGGTTTTAATAGAGAAACGTGTCGAGGAAGTAGAAAACAATTCGAATTTTCCGATTGCGAATCAATAATACATATTACTTACGTACTTTCAAATTATTATTATTATTATTATTTTTTCTTTTATTTTTTATAAATTCTTCTTTCGTTTCGATGAGTAGTTATATGGAATGAAATTGTATAATAAACATTTTAGTTCGCGTTAAAGTGTTAATCATCCATGTGTCTGTGTACTACTATGCGATACGTATCCATTTTATATTTATATATTTATTTTAATTATGTGCTAGGTCTGATAAATTTACAATTAGTGTTTCACATTAATTATACTTATTCGTTGCGCATAATTTATTAATATATCAGATTTTTTATCGTGGATACACTTGAGTACACGTTGTGTTTATCAATCGATTAATATAATTTAAAAACTCAATGAAATTTAATTGCCTAATTCATAAGTATTCGTAGATAAGTGAAAGCTATAAATATTCGGGCAAAGTGTTTTCTTTTTCTTTTTTTTGATATGTGCTCTCTCTTTTCATCATTTTTTCTGACTCAACGAAGGCGAAAGGATGACGTTGTTGTTTATTGATAATTTCTTTTTTAATGCGACGCGATCGTTATTAAATATCGCTCTTTATTTCTTTTCTTTTTTTTTTTTTGATTAACAATTAATTTTTGCTAACGAGTAAGTACCTAATGACGGTAAAAAGACAAACTATCGAATGCCGTGCTAAAAGAATTCGTTACACAATGGAAAGTATTCGTCACGAAGGTGGGTATCAACGAATTAGACCGTACCGAGAAGAAGCGTACTCTTTCAAGGCCACGAGAAATAAGATAATAACAGAACACTGTGATTTCTTCCAACCGGTTCTTTTCACGGGCCAAGAAAATGGCCCTTACGGTGATGGGAAAAGAATTCGAAATGATTTCGTCGTCGTCGATGATGCTGAGAAAAAATTTTCGAAACGTTTAATAAAAAAAAAGAAAAAATGTACCGTTATTTTAATTCCGTATTTCTTTTTTCTCTTCGAAAGAAAAAAAAACGAAACGTAGATAAGAATTTTATATTTTTTTTTTTTGAATAAGAAAGATTCTCACGAGTGTGAAAAATTCACAAACGCGATTATTTATTCCGATGGAAAAGATATTATTCTCATGGAGGGATAAAGAAAAGAAAAAAAAGGAAAAAAGAATATAAACAAACGAAAAAAAGAAGCAATGAAGAGAGAAAAACTAGAACGATTAAAGATTTGTATTTATACGATTCGACGAGAAAGTCTGTTTGAGGAGAATATCTTGAATTTTTGTTAGTTTCATTTCGGGAAAAAGACAATAAACGACAGACAAAGAGACACGACGATTTGGGCGAAAGTGAAGGAGGCACGTTCCTCGTTGGAGAAAGTAACGGATCACGTTCTCGATGCCGGTTCGATCAGAGAATTTGGAATCCTCTTTGGTGAAGAGGTACTCGATAAAAATATATCGTTTAAAAAGGAAAAGAATATCGAAAAAAAAATAAATAAAAGGCACTGAAAATGTAGGAAGGTGTGTAGGGTGATGGGTGTTCTGATATATCATGGTAAATATATTCTCACGTATAAGTAATTATATGTGTGTATGCGTGTATGTATATGTTTATTTGTGTTTGTTCGCGAAGCTTTCACGAAGCGCCAGCGAACAGCTGGAAAACGAAGGTGCAATTACGTGCCACGAACACGGTGTGTCCTGGTGTGGTGATACCAGTCAGAGAAGAAACTCGGTACTTTCGTTCGGTGTTGTTGTATATGCCAGTTAGAACCAGCTAGACACGGGACCGGTGAAAGTCCCGTAAGTCTCGAACCCTCGTCGACTTTTTTCTTTCTTTATCTTCTTCTTCATTTCTTTTCTGATTTTTTATTTTATTTTTTTACTTATTTCGAAAAATTCGATAATGTGTGTATATAGTTTTAGTAAATAATTTTAAATTTTATTTATTTAATCACTGTAAATTAGGTAAATTTCTGTTTTCAATTTACGCATATATCGTTTATCTATCTTACATGATTTTGAATTGACTCATTATGTCAATGTATAAGTAATTGCTAGTCTATAAAACACAAGAAGAGTATTAACGTTTAATGAAAATTTCACGCAAATAGATTTTATCTTATCTCGTATCCTTACCTTCAGTACGTAATCTTATCCTTTAAAATCAAGAAAGAAATAAAGGAAGGAAGATAAAAGTAGAATTAGTTTAGTATCGATATCTCAAATGATCCGTTCCACTTTCCTACGACTAATATTTTTTATCCCTTCTTAAAAAAACCAGAAAAATCGATCGAACATTTATCTAGATGGGTATATATATATATATATATATATATATATGTATTATATTGTATATACATATATATATATATGTATTCCATTTATGTTGATATTCGAGAACTAGTAAGCCATTAAGGTAGTTGATTTAACAATGTCTTCTAGTTATTACGTTACTCGATCCAACAGTACTCTTTTCAATTCGATATAATTCTCGATCTTCCGTTTGGAACGCAATAGAAACTGGACCAAGTGAAAGATCTCCTCCTTTCGCCAGATAATTTATTCTTGCGTTAAACCGTAAGAGATGCTCCGATTAAGGTAACAATTGTGCTGATAAGCGTTGGCTCCTGCATAACGATCGACTACTCTCTCTCAGTGTTCTATGCCGTGCCTTCTTTCATGAGGGGTGGGATGAAGGAAAAAAAAGAAAAAAATGTAATAAAAAGAAAAAGAATGAGAAGAGTGTCCGAGAATCGTGCCCAGCCAGTCGTAACTTCCGCCGAGCGGGTGGCACCGCGTGAACGTGAACTTCACACTGTCGTGCACGCAAGAAGTGCACTTTCACTTCTGGTGGATTCACGAGAGGCAAACGGAGAGCCAATGACCTACTAACACATCGAACCGAGTCAGAAGCCGGTCGATCGTACTCGACAAGGCCGTTCGATCCTGTCCCGTTCATCATCGTCACTTTTGCACGAAATTCCATCACCTAAAACCTCTTTTTTTTATTTTTAATAACTACAGAAAATATTTTCTTTTCTTTTCCTTCTTCTTCTTATTCTTATTCTTCTTTTTTTTCCCTTTAATTTCTTCTCTAACAGTTTTCTAATTTAGTTTTGCTCGAGCCTTCTCCATTACGTTATTATGAGAAGGAGTAATTGTTAGCTTGTTAAATTAGCCATGAACGACTACAGCGATTAGTGTGACTGGCACGGGTCAAGACAACCACTGGCATAACAAATGTTACTATACTCTAGTGATTAGGACGGTGATGCTGACACCGGATCCAGTTTCAAACCTTTACTTATCTCTCTCTCTCTTTCTTTTTCGTTTTGTTTTTCTCTCTCCATCCTTATGAAGAAAGACGAGAATCTTTACTTTCGCTCGTTACGGTTCTAAATGTGACGCAAACTAGATTTCGCTGTCTCTTAATCCTTCGTACGAAGGAAGTTACCCTTTAATCTTTCCCTATTTATTTTCGAAACTTTTTTTTGAATGACTTTCCAACTGCAACGATGACTCATTGGAAACGATCGTATGTTTTTTTTTCTTTTTTTTTATATATGAAACTCAATTAAAAATCGTTTTATTTTAACGAGTCACTACGAAAAATCTCTTAAGAAATACAAATCGATTAATTACATTGATCAAAATAATTCTTTATTATAGAAAAAATCTTTATAAATCAGAATCTCTCAAATCTTATATGGATAATTTATTTTTTTATTTTTTTTTTCAGAAACCGAGCAATGGGGTTGGCGACGAAGGTGTGCCATTGGTTTTTCATAGGACTGGTCCTGGTGCTCTCTTCGAAGAGTCAGGCCAACCAAGACACTACAGTTCATCCAAAAAAATTCCATCTTGAAAGGATCGATACCGTTAGAATTCCATTGCATAATGAAACAAGTGATAGCAATCGTACAACCGAACGGCTTTTAAGTCCAGTTATTCGTAAACGAAGATACGTTCGTTTTCCTAGCGGTCCAGGTGGTTATGTTCTCGAAACGAGTGGCCCGGCTATTGGGCCAAGAAACGTTGGGACTTATCCAGCTGCACGTTTCGGACCCCAAGCACAATTTTCATCACCTTGGAGACAGTACAAGTCCCTTTGGAGAAGTCCCGTTTCTGAATACTCCAGACCGGTGATGGGTCATCGAACTCCAAGGTTGATATTTCGTGACAACGATTTTCTACCGCCTGCTGGTGGAGGAAGTACAACTTTCTTTCAATCCAATCAGCTGCCTGACTTTGAGGATGATGTTAGAGGTAATAATATTTCTTTTCTTTTTTTTTCATGTTAATAGTTGTCCGATTTTTTTTACATTTTATATTTCATTGATTTTTCGTGAAGAAAACGTTATATGGTTGTTGACTTATATTTTCCTTTCATTTTAATTCAACATTCCAAGGATCGAAATTTTCATATCAATTTTAGGTCATTTTTTTCTATTTTTATTATAAAAATCATTTGCACATAGATATATCTAACGGTAAAGTTACCCAACAACGTAGTTAATTAAAATATATTACAAAATATTTGATTTCTATGGATGTCCAAATTACATTATTACGAAATCAAACTCCATCTCGCTGTAATTAATTCTAACTGAATGATATTTTCTGGTTATTTAAAAATTGAAGAAACATCACGAAAAATAAAACTTTTATTCTAAGGGAAATAAATTACACGTTTCATAGATATTTTCTTTCAGATCATCGAAAACAAACGTTAGAAGATTATCCAAGGCTGGAAACAGGTACGGTTAATAGTATATAATAAAATCATTATATATATATTAATTTTTCATTGTATATTTAGTTGTAAAACACCAATAAACAAAATGATCAATTCCCGCTTGGTAGTTGTTTAATTGTTTAGAGATTGAGGGTGAAAAGTTGCATAGGTGGTTGACAATTTCCGGCATTGTGTCTTTTATGGGAGGGATTTCTTTAGGGATAGACTAACGCGTTCTCGTTATAGTCTGGAATTAGCAATATAATAATAGCAGGCATTACGGTAGGCTGATTTGAAAATGGAGTCGCATTGACGAAATCTTTACTTAAAGTAGAGTCACGGATTCTAGACTTGGAGTAATAGAACGATCGACGATCAAATTTCTTTTATTATTTATCATTCACTCGTTTATTTAATTGCATACGAGATCAACAACAACAACAACAACAAACAAACAAATTAGAAAAAAGAAAAAGAGAGAGAGAGAGAGAGAAAGAAAGAAAGAAAAAGAAACAAACAAGTTAGAAAATATTTTGTGCAGAATCTCGTCAAGAGAAAAGACCTCTTTGGAAGGGCGACGATACTTTGTGCGCCGACGGACGAACCTGTGAATTTTTTCTAATGTGCTGGATGTCCGCCGGCTTATTGGATGGCAGTTGCGGTGGCATTATGTTCGCTTGTTGTCAACGAAAAGATCCTAAAACAATCTCCGATTCTAACTTCCTCGAAACGCCTCGAGATCAATCTTCTCAACAACTTCCGCTGGAAACTTACACGGACTCTACCAATGACGATCGTAAGTCCTTCCCCACCAATAAGAAAGCATGTAGCCCATCTTCATTCTCATCTCGCTTATGTTTAGGCTTCGATTAAAACAAAGGAATACGAAACTTATTAGATCATTCGGGGCACACTGATCTTACAAGCACGTTAATTATTCTTTACTTACCCCTTCCTCTCCCCATTCCTTCACTCATTTTTTTTCTAATATCCTATCCATCGTTGGTCTGTAATTTATCGATTTGTTCTAATACAATCAATCATTTCTTCTCTTTTTTTTCTTTCTACGATATTGACTCTTCTGCATTGTACGTGTTGTAAGTTTTTATTCGTTCTTTTCTACAATTTCATTCTTCTTTCTTTTCTTTGTCCTATTTACGTATATGTATATGTGTGTTTATGTGTATACGTGTTATATGTATGTATATAAAAGTTCTTCTTTTTTTTCTTCTTCTTCTTCTTCGTTTACTTTTCTTATCATGGAATTCCTCTCTCTTTCTCTCTCTTCTGACAATTCTAAAAAAAATGAAAAGAAAATAATAATATTCGTCTGCATGTTTTATTGGTCAAATAAGTGCATACTACCTGCGTGTTATACTTATAAATGTCTACCTTTTACTACTTCTATATTCACTTTCTTCTTCTTCTTCTACATCTTTTTTATCTTCCATTTGCGATCGACTATTTGTTGTCGATATTCTATCATTTGAAAGGTGGTCGCTTATTAAAACGAGTTACGACAAGCTAAAGTTTTATCGAAGTTTCTAATCCTAAAATGACTCGTTCTTTTGCTAGTAGAGTTCATCGTCTTTGTTAGAATAGAATAGAATAGAATTATTGGGTTTTGTATGAACGAGCCTCGTATCGTCGTCGATCGTTCGAAACGACGAAGAAAATCGAGGAATTAGAAACCGAGATTCAATTGAAGCCGTCAACTCGTTCTTTCTAACGAGTCAAGTAATAACCAAAATTACACCAACAACAACAATAATAATAATAATATTAATAATAATAACAATAGTATTCCGCGAACACAGTAAATTATATTTCATTTGCACAATCGTCGATCATGTTCATAGTAAAATGCAATATCTTTTTTTCAATCGTACGATCGTTAAATCGACGAACCATTGAAACTTGAAATCGAATCTCTTTTTTTTTTGCACGTCTTTTATATGTAATAACAAGTCTTTAAAACTCAAAAGGAAACGTTTCTTTAACGAATTTTACTCCAAGTCTCTAATTCGGTGATACTAATCTTTTGCAATTAAACTGCTATTCGATCGTAAATAAGTAAGGAATAAGAATTTCTTCAAAATGAGTATACACAAAATGACTAATCAATGTTTTTTTTTTTTAGAATAAATCAATTGCTTGGAAATAAATAATTTTTTGTTTAATACAAATTATCTTATATATATATATATATGTAAAGGATATCTTAATACTTTCGTTTTTACCGATCCATATAAGGGGATCGTAAGAAATGATTATACTTATCAATATACGTATGAATATTTATTTGTAAAATACCATGTATTTATTCTAAAAAAAAATATGTATTTAAAAAAAAAAAACGTCTCTATAGGAAGGAAAACAAAATCAAAATTAATATTCCAGATTGTGGTATACCAGTTTCAAAGCAAACAGCCCAAAGAAGAATCGTCGGCGGGGACGAGGCTGGTTTTGGAAGTTTCCCTTGGCAGGTTAGCTATAAAAGAAAAAAAAAACGGATATCGGTTGTATATTTGAGAATTAAACGAAACAAAAAAGATATACTAATGTTTTTTTTTTATTTTCAGGCCTACATTCGAATAGGATCCAGCAGATGTGGTGGTACGTTGGTTAATCGGTACCACGTTGTAACAGCTGGTCATTGCGTAGCGAAGTGAGTGAAAAAAACTGGCATTAGTTGTGAATAAAATTCAACTAATGATTCGATTATTAATTATTTACTAATTATTTTCCTCTTATTCTTTTTTTTCTTTTGCTTAATTCGTCAGAGCTTCAGCACGTCAGGTACAAGTTACCCTTGGAGATTACGTAGTCAATTCAGCTACCGAATCACTGCCAGCTTACACTTTTGGTGTTCGAGAAATTCGTGTTCATCCGTATTTCAAATTTACGCCACAGGCTGACAGGTAGATTCCTATCTATCGTTTCAAAAAAATAATTTTTTTGTAAAATTTATTTCTGTTTTATTTCAATCGTATATTTGTTCTCAGATTCGACGTAGCAGTGCTCAGATTAGACCGACCGGTTCATTATATGCCACACATTTCACCTATTTGTTTGCCAGAAAAAAATGAAGACTTTTTAGGTCAATACGGCTGGGCTGCTGGATGGGGTGCTCTTCAAGCTGGTAGATTATACCGATATGCTTTTATCTTAAAAAAAACAATGAAGTTTTAAAATACAAGTTGTTCCTAATACATGGACGATTTATGTACTTGGTCATACATTTTATGAACAACTTGTACGGTTATTCAAATCAATCATTTTTCTGATCAAAAAAATCCCAATTGAAAATATTTTAGGTTCGAGATTACGACCAAAAACACTTCAAGCAGTTGACGTACCAGTTATAGACAATCGTATTTGCGAAAGGTGGCATCATTCGAACGGTATTAACGTGGTCATCTATGACGAAATGATGTGTGCTGGTTATCGTAGCGGTGGTAAAGATTCATGCCAAGTAAGTAACAGTTTATTGATACTTAGTAAATTATTTTTTCATTTAACGGAATATCATTTTTTTGCCATTATTTTACCAGGGTGACAGTGGTGGTCCTTTAATGTTAGAGAAAACAGGAAGATGGTATCTAATAGGAATCGTATCAGCTGGTTATTCTTGTGCTCAACCAGGACAACCAGGGATTTATCATCGCGTAGCAAAGACAGTTGATTGGATAACTTACGTTATAAACTCGTAGCATCCAATACGGATCAATTTTTCTATCTCGCTCGTTTTTATTTGCGTACATCATGAACTTTGCATGACACAAAGTTCTTGAATGAAATAATTTGAATATTAATTCTAAAGAGTCCATCAATTTGTAAATTCGAGGACCCGAATGTTCAGCGATGAAAGAAAAGACGATGAAGTTAGTTTTGTTAAAGACTCGAAGGAACGATAAAACGTTTACTTTCCTTTACGTGATACGCGTTGAGATTACGTTTATGATTAATAATCTCAGCCATTTTATTTAATGACAATCATTTGTAAATATTCAAAAGAGTATAAATAACATAACGGTAATTTAAGTTCATATTTTTTAAGGCACCCGAAGTATATCGAAGTAAATCGACGTGTTTATTCGATTACATGCTCATTCAATCGTATGGGTGTGACAATTGTTTTTGTAATCACGCTTAATAAATTTTCTTCTATTCTTTTTTCTTTTGTAAATTACATCCAAACAATTGAATACCCTCCTTACGCAACTATTTCATTTAAGAATATTAACAAAAATCAGACAAGAAAAAAAATCAGGAGTAAGGGTATCGAAGGTACAAATGAAAACGCATAGTTGTTTTTTTTTATACGTTAAAAACATATCATTCCTTATTTTTGACATTCATTATTTTTTCAACACAAGCTATAGCGTCGCAAATAATTTAACGCATTTTATTTTTAAGTATCTCTATATGCATTCATAGAATAAGTACACATATTTATTATCTTATTGCGTAATGTTAAGTGCATTGCGACAACGCGCGAAATATTATTTTTTATGTGCTTGTCAATTCCGTTGTTTATTTTTCTTTTTCTTTTTCTTTTAAGCACAAGATTCATCATGTTTTATCATTATATCACCTATTATAATACGTTAAGGATAAACAATACCAGTTATAAATTTTGTGATATTCATAATTATTTTTATCAACGTTGTTAAGTTCATTAAAATGGATGGATAAAATCTTAACGCGTTGAATAAATGCATAATTGTTGATAAAATCTGTATCATTCAAATCATGAGGTATTGATAACTGGTATTCTATCCTAAATTCAAGTCTAGCTAGTAATTACATATGAAATCAATTTGTGTGTCTAATTTTAGATTACACATAGAAGATTACACTCATCCCCAAGTTCGTGACTAAAAATTAGAAGAAAGATTTCTAATCATACTATAACAATTTTTTACGTACGAAACGAAAACTTTAATTCGTCAGTTTATTTTGTCGCGCTTCGTCGATGAGCCGAAATTTCTTTCTTTTTCTTTTTTTGTTATTTTTTTAAATAAATAACGATATTAATACTTTCTCTTGAAATGGCTACGGTTTTAATACTAGTAGTTAGGAAAAGGAGGACGCGAAGAGAGAGAAAGAGAGAGAGAGAGAGAGAGAGAGAGAGAGAGAAGTCGGGTCAAAAGGAACCCTCTTTTTTTCGCTCAATATCGAAACCAATTTAACTTAAGTTACTTCTTTTTTTCTTTCTTAAACAAATAAACTATATAATGAGTTCTTCAAAATATGATTTATCATCGTTTACAAGTTGTTGCGAAAACTGTACTTTTTTCCTAAATGCCTTTTACTTTAAAATCCTATATATAATGCCACACACACACACATACACAGCGTAGAAAAACGCATGAAATATTTATGAAGAATGCTAAGAAATTGTTCCTATCTATCATTAATCAATGCATCTCGATCTTTACAAACAAATTAGATTCAGGAATTAAAGTAATTACACAAATTAAGTAAAAAAAGAAAAACAGTATTAGAAATTAAAATTCCGATTATTTTAAAATCGAAAATATTCATGCAAATATTCATGAAAAGGTTCGCATGCATGATTGATTACCCCGTATATGGGGGTTGTATCATTTGACAATACTCCTATCTAAACATATGTATTTATATATATATATAAATTATATATAATATATAAATATAATTAAAAATTATAAAGTTATAGTGAACACACGCAAGAAGAAGTTTCTTATGTAAGGACATTGAAGTACGTTCTGCCGAATGCGTAAACAAGAAAGCACCACCTTTTTGTCCATTTATGAATAATACTTCGAACGAAAGCGTTCGACATGTTAAAAATAACGATCGAGAGGAGAAAACAACACTACGGTGCGAGATCATTTTGGTAATCTCGCAATAATAAAAATTCGTCAGCTAATATGTGATCCTAGAAAGACTAAGGATATCTTGAAAGGTAGGACAAATAAAATTAATTGATTTCCATCGCAGATAAAATATTTCCATAATATGTAATAACAGTAATTATCATCGACTGATCCAGATAGAAAATGTTTCTGATTTGTTTCATCAATCGCTGATAATCGATCGTTCGAACGAGCTAATTCTCAGGATGGTAAAATATCGAGTTCAAGGACACTGTGTGTACTGGGTGCCAAACCGTCCTCGCTCTTATGAACAAGAATTTCTTTGAAATCTCTTAATCTTTGCGGTTGCAAAGTCGTCGTAGGATTTCTCGGTAAAGTTGCGATAGGATTAGTGTTGTGAGTTTTAAATGACTTGTCGTATTGATTTATACCATTTTCTGATTCAGAATTATGTCTTCTCTTGGTAATTAGTTCTATTTTCGATTGCTTGGTTGATTCCTTTCCCTCGAAGCAAGGTACGGTTTGCATCGACACGGTATTCCTACGATCGTTGAAGAGAGATCTAGGATTCAAAGTAACTTCTCTGGCAGATCCAAAAGGTTTAATGTTATTACAGATCGGACTGTTCATAAAATTCGTGTCGGCTTGTCGGCAAGGTTCGGGTGCTCGTTTTTCAATTTTGATCTCGGTTACGTTTTGACGAATAAGAATGTCAGGTGCTGCTTCTGGTAACGGTTCTTGCGATATAGGTGGCCATTTCAAATCTCTCGCTAAATCGCGATCAATCGCTAAGAATTTTCGTCTAGATTTGTCGATATTGTGCCAAAGAAAACGTAATTTAGTGAATACCAAATAATCAACGAATAAGTATTCCACCATCAATGAGATTATAAAATTGGCGACTCCGTAACCTACCAGAATAAAACGGAAGCTCCTGTCATTGGGAAGTTCGAGCTCGAATGCATTAGCTAACCATTGAAACGGAAACAGAGCGAGATAGACAGAAAAGAGAGATAATAAAACGAAAGAAGCCAAAAGACCGTAATTAGTGAAGATTGATTTTCTGTATGGAGGTCCTTTCGAAAAAACTACGGCTAGAATGATGTACTGCATCGAACTGATAGTAAATATGGTGTAATTTTCTAAACATTTAACGTTGTCTTTATCTTCGGCCGATTGACTCGTAAAATTAAAAGGTTCGTACCACTCCATTTGTTGTAGATGCCAAAAACTTGTATATTGGAAAATGGCTACGATCAAGATTTGTGTTAGCAAACTAAGAATCGGTGTTACACTGATGAGACTATTCAAAGGAGCTGTTTTTACCAATTGACCATCATAGGCTTCTGTTCGGCTAAAGAAGACAGCAAATATCGAAATGATGAACAGATCGATGTAAAGAAATTCAATGTCGGTTAAATTAGATTCGATACTATAAAGAATCATCACGGAGATGAATTGTGTAAGCGAATAAGCGGCCATGTATTTGAAATTGCCGAAAGATGTTACCAAAGCGGCACGGCCTTCTCGAATTACCGCAAGGATAGCAGAAATATTAGTTTCGCGACTAGTAAATGGCGACGCTACGGATGATTCGGTATCTGACAAAGAAATTCCAGTGTGAGCTGCTTTCAATGCTCCGCAATCGTTTGCACCATCGCCCACCATTGCTGTAAAAAAGAAAATTATCGAATTTAATTATGCGTAATTAGATTTAACAATTAAGAAGTATTTTTCATGAATTCATGAATACATACCAACGTAATATCCAAGAGCTTGTAATTCTTGAACCAGTTGCTGTTTCTGATCCGGTGACATTCTAGCAAAAACAACACCTCTCGTAGCCAATTTGGGAATCAGTTCAGGATAGTATTGTTTCACCAATGCCCACGTTTTCCCAGTCAGAGCAAAAACATAATTATTTCGCGAGCGTTGTAAACTGAAATATAAAAATTAAAATAATAATTAAAAATCAACAAATCGTGGAAATCAAATTAATCACAAACGATTACTTACTTATCCGATAGATAATTAACATCATTTTCTAAAACATTATTTCCAAAGGACCCACTTTCCACAGTATCCAGACTCACCACGCTATTGTAATCCGTCATTTCACTAAAATCGCCTTGACCTGCAGGTGAGATTGGCGAAGCTTGACTATTACTTTTAGTGAAATAAATCTGTGGTTTGGTTTGATTCTGTTGCGTAATTGCTGCTACTACGATGACGGTTGCTCCTTGTTTAACAATGTCACAATCTCTGGCTACTGATAATGCTGTTAACATGTTATCTCCTGTCACCATGACAGTCTTGAGGCAAGCAGCATTTAAAGCTGTGATCACGGGATTAGTTTCCGGCTTCAAACGATTTTCCATTACAACGAATGCCAAGAAATTTAAGTCGATTTCGGCAGATTCACGACTCATTCGTTGTACTTTTGCATAAGGAAGACGGTTTAATGATTTATGCGCTATGGCTATTACGCGATAACCTTCTGCTGTATATTCTTGAAGAACGTTCGCAAAATCGGGCGGAACTATAAATGATTAATAATTGTTTATTATAAAACATTTGAAGAAAGTGAAATATAAATTTGTACGATAAAAACTTGGACTTACTGGATTCTGGTTTGGATAAACTGAGAATCATTTCAGGACTTCCTTTGCAATAAAGATCAAAGTGATTAGCTCCTAATGTTCTGGTGATAACGCTCATCCTTTGAAGACTAGATGTGAAAGGAAATTGCCGAACGATACCAACTTCTACACCTTGTTCCCCTAGATCAGCTGTTGAACCACCAGTCAAAGCAGGGTCTAAGTTACTTAAAGAGATGCTATCTACTACGTCAGAAGTCATGGAATTCTGTCGGCTCATATCGATCGATATGTCGTTTGTTCCTTTCTTCAAAATTTTGGAACCTCTAGGAGGTCGAACTATCGTAGGGAAGAGCATAGAAAATTTGGAAGTATCCGAAACGTCAGGTTCTTCCAGAGTCCAACCAGTGGATTCGAACATTTTTAAATCAAGTGGATCGCCTACCAACTGATTATCAATTATAGTGATTCCATGACACGTAACCATTCCTATTAGCAAATCGCTTAATGGTAAAGTAGTTATTTCCTTTATAGGAAATTGGAATTTTGTTTCCGAAGCTGGTACAACACCCCACATATCGAGACCATCTTCAGTTAAAGTTCCAGTTTTGTCGAAACAAATGCAATCGATCGAACCGGAAACGTTTATGGTTCTTGGACTTGTACAATATATCTTGTTCGTTTCTAATCTTTTTTGAGCAACAAATCGACCAACCGTCATGGCTGCTGGTAAAGCAGGTGGTACTACGATAGTTATCAGATCTAAAGCTTCCAAAACAATGTGTTTTAGCAGAACACCTCGCATAACTTTCGTTACTACCGTATAGATTACACCGATGCTTGCTATCCCGGCTAATAATATAACGAATTTATAAGAATCTTGTTCGAATTTGAAATCAACAGGTGGTGGATACATGATCGATCGTACCAATCCTCCTTTGCTAGTGCTAAAGCCTGTCCTGATGACAACTGCGAGTACCTGTTAAACACGAAACATACGATTGAAAGATTTATCACCTTATTGTTTGTTAATATTATATAATCGAAATGTACCTTTTCAGATCCAAAATATCTCGTCTGAATAATCTTCGTACCACAATAAAGAGTATGTCTAGCGTGTTCTTTTGTATCGTAGACAATTTCGTTGGAAGAAGGAATGGGTGTTTTTGTTACTGGAACGGATTCTCCGGTTAACATTGACTCATTTAAAATACAATTTCCGGTTAAAAGGACAGCGTCGCAGGTCATCGTACAACCATGAGGTGGAATAACTAAAATATCTCCAGGAACTAAACGTTCCGCTGGTATACTTGCAGTTTGTCCAGTCGAACGATCTCTTATAACGGTTGCCAATTCAGAGGAAACCGCGTGTACCGAAGATCGTAAATTATCTTGATTCTATTGAATAAAGAATTAACGATAAAAAATTACATATAGGAAAAAATTTTGTTACGTAAGAAAACAAAAATTTGCTTACTCGACGAGATTGGTTAACCGCCATTATGATACCGATGCTTGACATTAATAAAATAACCATTGCGTAAAAATAATAATCGTCCGCTACCCACAAGCAGAAGCTGAATAATTGGAAGACGTAAAATGGATTGAGTACTTCGAGGCATAATAATGTTATTATGCTTTTAACTGGAATAACTATTTCATTGTTTCCATAAACACAACGCCTAGAACAATGAACAATCTCTTATTATAAAGAATAGTGATTATAATGAACTAGGAAACAATAGATAGAATACCGTAATATTATTACCTCATGTATTGTTCTTGAGCACTTAAACCTTGCATTTGGTGTAGAGACGAACTTACGACACCAATGTCAAGTCCACGTAACTTTAAGAATTCAGATCTTTCTGTATCCCACACGTATGTTAACTTTTTGCAATTAAAAATGACGATTGATTGGACCTCTAAAAATGATTCTTCGTTAATTATTTTGTATTTGCATATTATTAAACGATTGTAATTATGTATAAAAATTTTATAAAAAATGATTTTTACGTTTAAAATGTCCGCCAACTAAATGCATAGACAACGTTGGAATTTCTTCCTTTTCTGTTTTGATAGTTATCATACTTCCGTTATCCATCCACGGCTCATTATCCATTAATGATTCTCCATCGAATGGTTTATTCCTTTGAACAAATCAATTGCATTTTATTATTATTATTATTTTTTTTTCAGAAGATCATATAAAATATCCAAATGTATACTAACATAACATCGCGAACTGTTAAGGTCTTTAATTTTTTCACATAATAAATAGTATGCTTTTCTTGAAACTTTTCTACCAATAGAACAGTATCAGCCTCATCCAACGGACATTTGGAATGAGTAGCTTGCAACATAAGACGTGGTACCCAATGGAAAATCAATCGTAAAAGACCGCAGGTAAGGAAGATGAAGAACCAGGTGATTACAGTCTGAGTATGATTTCTCTTGTAACTAAAATGAGAAGATAAGAAATGGCATATTTATAATCGAATTAATTTATTAGTATATGTCAAAATCGTTAAGATAATTCATAGTTTCCTTTCTTAATTACCCATAAATTTCCATCTGATCTTCTTCGCCAGGATTAATGTAATCCACGCCATTTTTTAGATGAAGGAGGCCATTGCCTCTTGTACCTAGAATCAAATATAAGTCTGATACAGTCATGTATATATAAGATACAGTTATACACCTATAGAGATCGTTTGATAGCTTTGACAATATAAATTTAAAAAAATCTGAAAATTCAAATGGAAAATATTATTTGTACCCATGAAACGTACAGAATATTTATTAATTAAACACGCGAACGTGTCTAATACTCTTCGTCTTTTTTATATAAAATAAAAAATATGTATACACGTGCAAGGTCGAGCAAACAAAAAGATTACAAACGATCATTTTCAAGGCTTATTGTGAGTTATCGGGCATACGTAAATTGCATCAATACGTAATAGATCAATGACGTAAATGTTTTTCAAATTCATTTCAATGTGCTCACATTACGATCTATTCTTTACCATTCTTACCCTCGAGTAGTTCCGTTTTTTGTTCGCGTTGTTGTTCTGTGGTCGTGTCGGTAGCACGAGTTCCGAAAACGCTGTAAGCGTTTCTGGCGAAGCTCAGATTCAATTTGTTAGGTGTCGGCGGCATAATGATAACGATGCTGACGATCAGCCAATCGATCGATCACGTGGGACAAAAAAATAAAACTTTTTCTTATATTTTTTATTATCCCTATCTCTCTCTCTCTCTTCCCAAGAAAGCAAATCGAGCAGAGGGCAATCGTGATTCTTGCAAAGATTTCTTCGCGTCTTCACGACAGCGTCTTTTCTTCTTTTCGATTATTTATATTCTTGTCCTTCTTTCCGATTAACTACTACTACTATCACTAATACATATTATACCACTAATATTTACTTCTTATGGATTATTATTGTCCATTGAAGGTGTAGTAAGGAAGGAGAGGGTTTTGTTGAATCGAGGAGAGGTGTTGTGGATCAGAGAAGGGAGAGCAGAGTCGATGGTACAAATCTAATCGCGATTTCCCCCTCGTGCCTTTCTTTCTCTTTCTTACGATTCTTTCTACTATCAGTTTAGTCAGGTTCTCTTTACTGTAAGTTCAATTTATTTTTAAGGAGAACCAAGGACACTGGAGATAGTTGACGAAAGGACTACAAGAGGAAAATTGCGAGGCGATGGCTCGGTGGCGATTAGGACGCAAAAATCCTCTTCTATCTTTTCCTTTTTCTCGTTCCTTCTTCGGTAGCGGGTTAAATGATACCCCGTCTGCTACCGACACCGATTACCCGCCATTTTGGGATCTCTCTTGGAGGTTCTCGAGGCTCTTCTAGGTGAACCGTTTTCTACCATTGGGGGGACATTGATCTTAGGAAAGAGTAAGGAATGCGTACTATCGGAGCTTTTAGCTGAGAGAACGGCAGGAGAATATAGAAGCCGAGGAGCAGCAAGCCGTAGCCGATGCTATCGCTTCGGATCTACTGGCAAATTCCTGAATTCGTGTCAGTCTCCGGGATCGGTGAGCTTTCGCCAGCCGATTCGCGGCGTTATTACCGAGCGTTCACCCTCGCTCATACCGCGCTCAAGGCACACCAGCCTCGAAACTTTGTTCCTCTTATAAGTGTTACTTCCTTCGAGTAACCTTGGCCGAAATAGAATAAGCTTAGCTAGCTCGAGATCCGAATAACAACAGCAGGAACCCTGACAAAGATCCTTTTGATTCGGCCTATCTCGTCTCCTCCTGTCTTTGATCGATCCGCAACCACCACCACCACCAATGACGACGACGATGGCGTCGTTGCTGTTATTGTTGTTCCTTCGACTCCTGGTCAAGATTCCTCCTCCACCTCCTACCGTCTCTCTTTTTTGCTCGTACCACCCTTTTGCTGCGCCCTTGTGCGATCTCAAATACATTACGGGTTATAAGAATATCTTTAGTGCCGTCGGGATATCTCGATCGGCAGATTTTAATACAAAAGATTCCTGTTTTATCGACCTACGATAATAACTAGGTTTCTTTTCAAATGATCCAATATCGGAATAGAACAAAATTCTTCGTATATATATATCGTTCGAGTTGTCTTCTTCCTATTTCTTTTTCACTTGACTGTAATTTATCACAAACACAAACACTTACCGATCGTTAAATATGTTCTATTATTTAATATTATTATTTCAATTAATAATCGATCAATCGTTACACTCACATACGTTCGCGAATAGACGACGTCTGGCCTTCTCGGGAGACGTTCATGAAAGTCTACGAAATACACAAGAGAATTCTATATATAGACAAGAGATTACGTCAACGACCAAACGAATTCCTTTTCTTTCGTTTTCTCTCGAAACGCGATTCGTTCGAATCTTTTAACGAACGATATATCGTTTAATGTTAATCGTCTTTTTTTATTATTATCTTCCCTTCCGGCAAACGTCGAATGGCGCGAACGATACACAACACGAAACACAATCAAAATTATATATATATATATGTGTGTGTGTTTGAATAATAGATATATGAAATTAATTTTAAGGATATATTAAATCTTTTCTCTAAAGTTTCTTTCTCTTTTCAAATATTTTTTTCAAACGATTCGCTTTAACGATTCACCCTCTTCGGGACTTCTAAGTACAGAGAACGCGGTACAAAAGTTTGTTCCTAGCATGTTTCTCATAATGAAATGTAACGAAACTTTAATGTAGCTTTCTTCTTCAAATGTATCCTCGTCGTTGAAGTGAACGAATTTTCGTGTTTTCCTCTTCCTTCTCCTTGTCGTCGTCGTCGTTGGCGTCGTTGTTATCACTACCGTCTTCCTCTTTCTCCTCCCCGTCGTTATCTTTGGAATCTTCAGTTCTAACGAGTTCTGCGTACACCTTCTTTTTATCCCAATATCTTGCAAATTAAGAAACGGAAAAGAAAAAGTCTCCCCTTTCCGGGAGCTCACTTTATTATTTTTCGTTTTGCTTCTCTTCTTGGATAAGACTGCATCGAGGCTACTTTGTCAGATATTTTTTTTACAATAAAAAAAAAATATCGTCGATCAGACGACGATTCTCTTTTATTTTTCCGACTCGCACAATAATTGTTGTTGTTATTGTTGTTGTTTTTGTATGATTTCACTCGAATGCATAACTTTGTTGAATAAATTTACGAATAGGAATGCTTTGTAGTACTTCCGTTTTACTATCAGAAGATCGAACCTCGTCAATTCGCAACGGTAGACTGAAGTGAGCTTGGGAACAGGCACACGATTCGCGCTCCGGTCGATTCGTTTCGAGCAATGTGCTACTTTTAAGATGGCGGACTTGCAGCCTTTCCAACTTTACCTTACTCCCTCCACCCAATATATTGGCCTTTAATAAATTCTTTCTCTCTTTTTCTTTCTTTCTCCCTCTCTCTCTTTCTTTTTTCTATCTCTATTTCTTTCTCATTCTTGTACGATCGAACACCCGTACAAAATTAGCAGATGATATCGATTCTTTTAAATGTTTAACAAGCTGTTTAACAAGTCAGAGCTATTTCAGTTTGATTAAAAAGACGATGACTAATTCTTCGTGACCCCCTTATTTAATTCCATACCGTAGTTGCTTTGAACGCGAACGAATTAAGGGAATCATTTGGCGTATTGCACTGTCCTTCTTTCTCTCTTTCTGATTCGTTCATATTCCCACTCTTTCTCATTCGCACAGGCATAGGTCTCACTCAGTAACGTATCCGAGCACGCGCAATATTCATTTAGGGCTGTCACGTGTTGCCAAGGAACCCGATGCTTTTTCTTATCCCGATGATTTTTGCTTACTCCAAAAGAACGAAGATATCGAATTGCACTTATGAAGACATTTTTTATTCCTTAATTCAGCATCCAAATGACGTTTATTCTTTTTAGAGAATACAATTCTTGATGTTTTTTTCTTGATTAGTTGCGAATAGAAAAAATATTTTATATAAAATAAAGAAAGAAGTTCTTTCTTCGACGATTCTACGTTTACTACTCGTAAAAGCGAGTTGTTTCTCGATTAAGAAAACTCTCGTTTTCCTTATTTCTCAAAATTTTGTATAGTTTAAACATTTATGAAGTGTATGGCCTTTAGTAAAAAAATCAATTTATTAAGCGATTAAAAGGCGTAAGCATATACTATTCAATTTTACCATCTTTTTCCTATTCTTTTCGCGAATAGAACGAGGAAAAAATGTTCTTACGATACGTGGAATGAGAAATAATTCCAATCATTCGAATATATTTAATTAATTTAATTGTTTTCATTTGAACGTGGGATTTTTCGAACAATGTCGTTGAATATTTTCTTTTTTTTCCCTTCCCCTTGCAATTTCTATAGGAACCATTCGGTTGCGCCGCGCCTGAGATTATTTCACTTGCCCCCTCTGTCGTCGCTTCCGAGTACTCTTTCGACCTACGACGATAAGGGCTATGACGACGATGACGACAACGACGATTATGCGAAGAAAGGTAACGACCGTGACTCATATGTTCTTTCACTAAATCTACCTCTTGTCACCTATTCGTCCCTGCTAATTATACAGTCCTTGTTCGTAGTTGTTCGGTGTATCTCACCGATGTGGTCGCATATACATGAATTTAAGAGTATGCTACAAATGATTAACGCTTTATATGTAATTTACTTTTTTTCATTCATTCTCTCTCTCTTTTTCTTTTTTGTATGCTTTGCACATGCGTTCTCATTCTCTTTCTTTTTCACAACTCATACATTTCTATAGAATATTGAACGATCTTTATTCATATCCTCTTCTTGCTAACTTTAACTAATGACGAAACGAATTGAACATGCTTTTACATGTTAACATCTTCCAAGCTCTCTGATTGGCTAATTTTCCCCTTTTCAGTTTGCAAGACCGTATTTATGGGTATGAGAAATGTGCGATAGCACAGGTTTCATCAGGGGCGCCATTGAGAACCCGGCAAAGCATAAAGAATTGAAAAAAAAATTTTTTTTAAATATATGAACACATACTTTTTTTCGTTTATTTCATTCTAAAGAGCATAATTTTTATTTACATTCACCAATATTTTTCATATTTAATTGAATTCATTCATTAAGAATATATTAGGGGTACCGAAAAGTAATCAAAATTTCTTTGATGAGTACACTCACATTTAGTTTATGTCAATAAAAAATCAAAGGACTTTTTAAAAAGGGAATTGAACAATTTCCTTTACGTAAGGCAAAAAATATTAGAAATTAATGAAAAAATTTTTTCTTGATTGGCGTTTAAAATTTCTTTAATAAATAGATGTTTTTCGTCAGCAAAGAAAAATTTTGATTGCTTTTCGGTCCCCCTTCGTTTCTCTTTCCATAACTACCAACTATATACCATAAGCACCTACATAAATCTACAACCTACGTAAATACATACATACCTAACATAGTTAATTACTAATTTTCAGGGAGTTTGTTCTTGCATTTTTAAAAATGTGTAAACGAAATTTTTGGCTTGCTTTTTTAAGGCACTTTTAAACTAACTTAATCGAACCATTTTCTACGGAGGTAGACACATGGTTTAAGAACGTGTTAAGATACGTGGTAGATTTCTATCGTTTGCATAGATAGATTTGGAACTCTATTGGTTATATTTATTTTAACACGATATTTCTACGGAAGATGTCGTTTTCGTCATACCAACAAAATGGTATTTCTCTTATTTGATATTTTTAATACGTTTAATGCCATGGGGGTTACTGGGGACCAGCACTCAACTTGGCAGTGACGCCATGGGAGGCATCGGTGACCGGTGAGCTCAGATTAATAGAAATATATTCCACATCGTGGCGCTACGGACAATCCCTGTAAAATTGGTATGGCATTCAACGTGTTAAAATCCTTATGACTGATAAAAAAATGAGAGAGGAAAAAATACAAAAAGACTATAATTATCAATCTACGTGATTTTATGCACGATTCATGAATGTAGCATAAATCGAAGAATATCTTATTATCAATCGTATAAGTATTATTGTGTAAACAGATCGAACGTAAAAATCTTGGAAAATCAACACTACTATTTATACGAATGCATTTCTCCCCCTCTTATTTTTTCTGTAATTAAATAATCAATGTCAATTGCATATTGCGAAGATTTTATTTATTACTTTTCAAAAACAAAAATCATTACCTGTTAATCGTGATAATTATTAATTAATAAGAGCTTAATTTAATATTGTAGCTAAGAATTTTATATCCGAATTCTTATCGTTTCAATGAGACAATTTCATTTTCGAGATTACAACTTTGTAGATAAGACCAAGATATGCTGCGAATCATCATATTGTTGGTATTAACTGACTCATCAAATTGTTGTAGGCATCAGAAATAGGAAATGATTTATTATGTTTGTTGACTCTATTAACATGTGCATCAAATGATGATTCGGTGATACAGATGCACATGTAGATTTGTCTGTGAATGCAGGAAATTCTCATACCTCGATTCATCATCGAGGTCATATTATTTTGCGAAAAATGATTACTCGATGGGAACAATTGTAATTACAAGCTAATTGAATGCATCTGCTAAAGAACAGAAATGTGTGTTAACACCTTATTAACAATATTTTTTTACTTCCGCGTGTTACTTTTTTAATTATTTATGCATTTGCGTTTGTAATAGTTAAGTAAATTCTGAAAAACAGGATATTTGTAAGAAAAGAAATGATTGTCTTCAGGGTAATCGAGTATGTTTTGCGTTTTTATTATGTTTTTCTTTTTCATTTTATCAATGATCGAGAAATATTCCAAAATCGTTACCCGATAGCTTACGTGCCTAAGTGCTCAGTAGAGATTTGCGGATTAGGAATAAGAAAGATAAGAAAATTTTGTAAATTATCTACTTCAATGAATGAAATATCCGCGTCTCATCGGTTTAAACCTTTTTTTATGTTTATTTTGGAATACGTTAAAAGATTCGTACTCGTCTCAAATATCTCCCGACGTTTGGTTAATGTCGTGCCAAATTTCGATCATATTTAGAAAATCACGTCATAGAAACCGAGTCTGACTTCTTGATATTTAGTATGCGCCTACAAGGCTCGAAATGAATCATCGAAATTTTCTGAAATTATTTTCGTATGTAATACTATTTTAAGAAATGTATTTATTTTCGATGTAACGAAATATCGATAATTCGATGCAGCTGTTTAGTTCAAAGTTTATATTTCAATTTTTCTTTAAAAAATATTTGTTTTTCTTTTTTTTTATTCTACTCTGTTTGCTATCGAATTATTTCGTTGAAATGATTGAAAAATATTATATCGTTCGTTTGATAATCTCACGACAAGATCGAATACACGTAGCTTTTCGATCTCACGTATATACAATAATTTGATCGATGATACGTGAATGAAAAATAAAGATGTATTGAAAGTATTCTTTTGTCTTACAAGAGCAAATAGGCAAACCTTATGATAAATGCTTCCAGTCTATAGAACCATTTACTTACTTGATTATTGTCAAACTTATGTAATTATTCAACTATAAAATTGTACAAATTGTTATTAGAGTAGTATCGAATAGTATGAACTTCATTCGAATATCAACATTTCAGAGCTGGATTATTAAAATTTTTAATCACACTTTTATTGAGTTTGGAACATAAATAAATTCGCTTGCAAGTATGAATGTAAGAGAATATAACTAAACTCATTTATGTTACGACTCAATGATTTAATTATCAACGTAATCAGATGCATTACTTTTTGCATGAAGTTTCTTGGTTATCGGTGCGTTAAATAGCGTCATCTCGTTATCTTACAATTTGTAAAACAAATCAACTGAAGTTACATGAATCGATGTTTGTCTAATTAAGTGGCTTAAAATATTTGAGGAATTAAAAAATATATATTCTTTTGCTTATTGTTCTTAAACTTTTCATTACTTAGCGACCCATATAAGCGCCGTCAGGGTTGCGTAAAAGAATAATACATTTTAGAACTAATTAAAAGAAAATTATTTTTCAATAAAAAATATAAATGTACTTTATTTTTAAAAACTTACTAATTTTTCGTATAAAAATACTTTGAAAAATAAATGCTACGCGATATTTAAAAAAGAAAAATGTATGACCTAAAAAACTATAATAACAATCAGCGACTCATATAATAATTATTACAAACTTTGACAACTAATCGGAATACATTTGACAGTGCTGTTGCAATAGCCTTTAAGGTTATCTTTGATACTGGAACGATCGGATTTCTCATTTCTTGTTAAATTAAAAGTGTTGTGCTTACAAACATGCAAAAGATGATAAATACGAGAAGTAATAAACCCTCGTTATTGGTACACACGGAATAATACTAACATATTATGTTGATAGGCGGTACATTTGAAGTTACGTAAAATTAGTAATCATTTTTTACGTTTATATTAACAAATGATCGTCAACTAATAATGTAAAGAGAATAATACGTGCTTGAAATATTTTCATTACTTATCGATGCATGGATTATTTTATTATTCGTTAATTTATTAATTATTCAACGTTTAGAAATTCACTTGGATATTATTATTATTATTATTATTATTATTATTATTATTATTATTATTATATACAAGTATAAGATCGAGAATGAATTTGTGTGTTGATAAAAAAATTTTTGGTAACAGCAAAAAAGATAGGTCTGCCAGTTCCGATTAATTAAT